GTAGTAACTAATGTTAAATTGGATAAATGGGACCTTATTTTAAAGTGTTTTCTATTCTCGTTCAGTTCCTCCCGTTAACAGAGCGTTGCCGATATATGCTGTCCTGTGCTCCTCAGCTGTTGGCGTTCCGTACAAATGTACTGTAAGTGTCTCCAATCTAACAGCTGCAGTTACTGATGTCACTATAGCATTATATTTTCCATCAAGCATCTATCATGATTAATGTAACAGTCAATTTACCAAACATGCAGACAGCTCTGTCAAAGTTACATTTAAGTGTATGGATTAATTAGGAATGAATGTCAATGCCTTGGGCACTTTTGAATTGCAATAATTTAGTTATTTTTGTTCACTTTTTAAATGATGCGACTTTATCACAAAATTCAAATGATAAATAAAAATCGAAACATAATTGGCTATTCATGTAAGTGATAATCTTTCTATTGCTATAAATTAATTTTATACATTTCCATCTTAGGTATAATGAATGTTACGAAATTCTGATAAAGTGTGACTTTCCAGCCTTTCCTGCAACTGATAAATCAAGTTTAATGCATGCTATTTTAAGGCGAACATAAATTGTAACATTTTCCACACAAGTAAGAATTTGTGAATTGTGAACAAACATGAAACAAAAAAAAAATATTGACAGTATCATGATGAAAGCATAGTTTATGTGAAGGAAATTTGAGTGGTAATTTGCTTTAGGGTGTTAGAATGGAGAAAACTTGACTGATGAATATTAAAATGTTTGTGATGCTCATACAGAAGTTCTTCCTGATTTGCTGAAAGGCAGATATTGCTAGTGTGTGCCATGTAATGAGCCATGGCTTTTACCATTGCAAGATTTGTAACTTGGTCATACATAGTTCTTTTTCTTTGTTGATGCAAGGGGAGGAGGATGAATGAAAAGCAGCTAAATGACATTATGAAGCGTGGCTTTCACACAAAATTATGTCCATTAGGTAGTTTAAATACTGATGCTATCCTATTTAACAATACAGATTGTGTCAAAGCAACTGTACAGCATTAATTAGGAAAATAGTGTGTCAATAATGCAAAGTGACAATAGCAAACACTCAAGTAGTATCAGTGGTTAGCCATGACCGGTGTAAGACCTGAAATGATAACTCACAAAACAGATGCCATGCAGCAAAACAATAAACTTTCTAATCTGAAGAGAAGATCTCAATGAAAACCATTTGCTCAACTGTCCCTTCAACAGTCTTTAATCCCTCTCCTTCCCTTTTGGGCATATTGCCCGGGTCACTGAAAGTTGACTTAGGCTGCATTTACACTGCAAGTCTTTACAAAAGGTTCAAACGCTCGCTGATGCTCCAGAAGGAAACACAATGCATTAAGAGCCGGGGGTGTGAGAACTTTCTGAATTTGAAGATCAGGGCAAATTTAACATATTTTGTCTTCTGCGAAACATGTAAATATCTTCTGTATCAGGCGAAATAAGAAACATTTACATCTTCATTCTGTTCAAAAGTTTACACCCCCGTCTCTTAATGCATGGTTTCTCCTTGTGGAGCATCAGTGAGCGTCTGAACCTTCTGTAATAGTTGCATATAAGTCCCTCAGTTGTCCTCAGTGTGAAAAGATGCATCTCAAAATCATACAGTCATTCTTGGAAAGGGTTCAAAAACACAAAAATGCTGTAAAACCAAAGAATTTGTGGGAGCCTAGCTAAAACAGCAGGCAGTTTAACTGTTAAGGACAAACAAGTGACTCATGAACAACTATCACTAAACAAAAAACACAGCTGTGGATCATTCAGCTAACAACACAGCATTAAGAGTCACTTAATGACTACAGTTTTTGACAGTCACTTTTGAACGGGGTCATTTTTATAAATTCATCTATTTTCTCCTGTGGACTATATTGTGAACATCTTTTATGTGAAATATCTTATTCTGGTCCGTACTAAATAAACAATAACATGAATTTTGTATGATCCCTCTTATTTCGGTGAAATAATTAACATTTTGCAGATTCTGCAAGCTGCATGTAAACTTTTGACTGTATAATAGGTTTTAGAATCGAAGCTATTGTATTTATAAAATTCACGGGGCAGGGGTTGAAAACCAGCTCCTGAGTGTTGCACGGTTTCCACATGTGGCAAAGTGGTCAGGTAGGGGAAGCTACCAATAACAACGGACACAAATCCTATAGTTGACCACGCACCCGGAATATACCGGGAGACAACAGCCCTATGCAAGGGCATACAGGTTCATTACCAAAGGCAGGGTGAGCATGGAGACATGGACAAGGTATAAACATTAAGCAGTTTATTTATATACACAAAAATGAGACATTTTTCCATAGCCAATCAGCAGTAAGGGGCGTGTCTACTCGTGATGTGGAGGAGAGCGTGCTCAGTGCACAGGACGGATATTAGCGAGCCGAGCGACAGAAAGATAAAGATGGCGGACAGAAAATTGTTGGTGATTATTTTCACTGTTCCCAAAATATCTCTTTCTGGACCTACTGTATGAACCGAACCAAGCAAAAATCTTTGATGCCGTTTGGACTGGAAGTCTCTCCAAATTAAACTGAAGCTATATAACTTGAGAACATTTTTTAAAATATCATCTGAGAATTGGAGGATCCGTCAATTATTTGTAAATGTTTTTAACGTCTTGTATAGTTTTTATGTACAAGTTACACTGGGTTGCCAATTTTGACCAGGACACTCACATAAAAGATTTTTAATCTCAAAGAGGTCTTTCTTGGTTAGATTAGGTGAAAAGAACTAAGTCGATTCCCCTCCTCTAAAGGGCAGTAAATAATGCATTCAAGACTAGCATAGTGCAGCCGCCACAATAAATGCTTCCACTGTCCACTTAAATAAAAAGTTGTGTCATGATTAACAGATGAGTGAATATCCTAGACATTTGGCAGAGGGGGAATGGGAATCAGACGCCGCTCCTTGGCTAATCCAGCTGGCACGCCACCAATGCAAAAGCTGGGCGCATTTATAAATAGGCCTAAGTCAGGGGTAGGCAAGTTTGGTCCTAGAGAGCCGCAGTCCTGCAGAGTTCAGCTCCAACCCTAATCAAACACACCTGAACAAGCTAATCAATGTCTTCAGGATTACTAAGGCTATAGACAGGTGAGATTTTTTTTTCAGGGTTGGAGCTGAACTCTGGAGGATTGCGGCTCTCTAGGACCGAACTTGCCTACCCCTGGCCTAAGTCATATTAATGAAGATGGTTTGTGGTGCGAGAAGGAATGCAATATAAATATACAGCATTAATGTTCTCTGTAATGGTTTATTCAGATGCTTTGAGCTTAACCACCTGATATAATAAGAAGCCTAAAGGAGTAGAGTTGAGTGCTCAACATCCTCATGAATATCAAGATACAAGCATAAACTCGCCATCGCTACTGGAATGCAGTGAACTGCTTAAAGAAAGAGCATGGTGTCGATTGGTATAGGATCAGGCGTTCCTTATATGGTTTGTTGGGACGGGGTGTTAAAAAGCTACGCCTGTTGTCTGGCTCTGGTTCAGCTGTGGGGGAGCGTCTGCATGCTTCTGGTGTACAGTTGCAGCTCAAGCATTTTTATTAATGTCATATCAAAGAAGGTACTGATGCTTTTTTCACCACGCGTCTGTTGACAGAACCGGCAGCTCGAACCAAATACGAACGGATGGGTCTGATATAGCTCCTTGACGGAAAGAAATCCTACATCTGATCGATTTGTCTGAAATGTTTGGTTTGTCCAAAGTTCATTATTTTTTCTCTTTACAGAAAATCATCATGCATATTCCCGTCAGACTGCACATGAGCATGCACTTTTAGAAGGCAAACGAGTGGTGCAGGTCTCCGAGTACTACAAAAGGTGAACGCAATATGGGGTGAAACGTTGACACGGGTTTGTCCTTCAGCGAGGGGTTAAATTAAGATGTGTTCAATTATAGCAACAACAGGGAGCAACATTTCTTCTGTTTCCTTCAAGACCCTGAATCTTCTCTTGGCAGAAGTGAGAATCTTCAGGAATAACACAGGGCTTACTCATGAGACCCAGAGGCCAGCAGACCTTATAAGCTCTGGAAAATGTGTCACCCTTTACAGCTGTTTGCTTGAGCCTTCTTAATGTTAATAAAAATAGATCAAGGTTGTGGCCATTTGTCTCCTGCAGCATCTGAATTAGTGATGGTGAAGAGAACACGTGAGATGTGCGTTTCACTTTTTGTTTTCTCTGAGGAGCTCTAGTGTGATTTCCCAGCCATCATAGCGAGTCTTTACAGTCTCAACCATCCAAACGCCGAACAGGATGGAGCTTCTGCACATACTTCTGAAAGTGTCTCAGAGTGGAGCAGTTTTTGAAGTCTGCTGCAAATGTGCCAATTATTGTAAGTACATGCTGGTAGAACTGCCTTCTCACCACTAGAGGTCAGTGACCCTTATTGGAATCATTTTTCATTCCTAAATGTGAATCCAACTCAGCATTACGATTCAACAATGATGATTAAACTGTGGTTCTGAATAAACAATACTTTATAAATGATACTTTCAGAAAACATAAGCTGCAGATAAAAGGTATTTGTCAAATGTACAAGTACATTTACAAGTAGTCACATTAAATTGTACTTGAATAAAAGTACAAATCCCCAAAAATAATACTTAAGTTCAGTAATCAAGTAAAATTACTCCAGTATTTTACACCCTTGTTCATTCATTAGTGCAAAACAATTCCATATCTGGAACATACTGTAGCTTGTGACCAGTCAGAATCATAGAAAGGACAGTTGTTTTCACTTATGCCTATTAGTGTTTCTTATTTCAAGTTTTGGGTTCAAATGTCCCTTCAGAAATGTGGAGAACTTGGTCTTCAGTAAATTCACGTTCTCAGTGGACTGAAACACAGTTCTGACTCCTAGTCTTCACTGTGTGAATCGGTCTCTCTGGGTCGTAATTGTTTTTGGACTTGAACTGCAGCAAAACAACTCATTGCTGCATCGCACCATTGACAAAATCAGACTATAAATGGAAGCTTTTGGAGGGGCTGATATTGTGGAGAGTTGATGGAGAAGTACTAAGTAATCTGTGAGAAATCCTGCAAGACAGGAACAAAGAGAATTTATTACATGAACAATAAAAACATTAACAACAGCAAATAGCAGACAACATACTGTAACTGCAGCGTGTATAACAGTTAACAGATCATTGTCAAAATATTGCACTGCTGTTGCCGGCAATCCGCATCAGAATGTAAACATTTTAGAAACTTTTCACAATTATTTCCCTTTAACTTAATTATATCATTCTTTTCAAGTTGGGCAAGAAGTATCAGTGGTTACACATGATGAAAAGTCGCAGTCATTTCTAGTAACTGGAGAACATTAGCTATGAGAACTGATATAAACACTCTGACTACTTACAACGGGCACAATCTGCATGAGAGCTGAGGCAATGGCCAATGCCAGCAGTAGGAGTAAAAGTCGTAGAATATTTTGACAATATCATATGAATTTGCTGACTTGGTAAATTGTATGAATAATTATTACTACTTCAACATGACACTTTTCTGGGGGTTCTTCCTGAGGGGGCCGTGGGGTGTGTAAACCAAAGTTTAAGAAACATCAAATGCTGTGCAAAATGTCTCTGCAGTAAAGTTCAGTCAAAGTGCTCAGACCGACACAGACGTACCATTGGAAGTGTTTGCCTTTGCAGCTTTTGGTCTTCTCCATAAACGCACAAGATGGTCAAATTCAAATCCCATGACAGGCCTTCATTTGGTCTTCCCTTTCAGCTGAAACGAAGGGAAATATAAACATGTTGAGACCCTGTGTTAAAAATGATCTGTGACCAAAATATTTGATTAACACATAATATAAGGATGCGTTCATTAAAGCAAATCAGTTTTAACTAAATGTCTTCAACATTACCTGTGAAGGGTTGAACCTTTGAAGGACTTGTTCAGCCTCCTTGACAGCTTCTTCAAGATCAGCATTGGGAGCGTCGAGTTGAAGTTCCCTGTTAATTCTAGCAGAGAGAGAGAGAGAGCAAGAGAGAGAGAGAGAGAGAGAGAGAGAGAGAGAGAGAGAGAGAGTTATACAAAAGAG